AGTCTTGGGCTCCTTACCTTAGGAAAGACATTGAATTGTTGGAAAGGGTTCATAGAAGGGTTACTAGAATGGTGCCTGGGATGGAGGGGTTGTCATACAGGAGAGGTTGAAATCTCTCAAATTGTTTTATCTTGAAAAAAGAAAAGTTGGGGGGGGGGTCTGATTGAGGTGTTTAAGATTGTAACAGGAATTGATAGTGTTGATGTATCATCTTTTTTATATTTAACAATGAGAATAGGAGGACTAGGGGGATGCATATAAATTTGGGTAAAGTAGGAGTCATCTTCAACTAAGACAGTTTTATTTTTCTAACAGGGTGGTTGGCCTTTGGAATGAGTTGCCTTCAGATGTTGTAGAGGTAGTAAATTTAAGAAAAAGCTTGATAAGTACATGAACGATAAGGGCTGGATTTAAGATTTTTTTGTTAATTATTTTAATTTAGTGTAGGGGATGGAACAGCTGAGATGGACCAATAGGTCCTATGTTGTCCCAAAACATTATGTTATGTTAAATAACTAAACTTCACCAACTCAGGTTATCTATAGAACAGTTTTTTGCTGATTTTCTTTTGAAGAATTATAAATTAAACAGCAAAGCACGACTGAATTTTACTCACACTTTAAGAATTGAATTTTAATTTTATTTAAATTTTCATGCTATACTATATAACTTAGAACAATTCATTCTAATGTTGAAATTCAATAATTAACTGGGTACTAATGAAAAAAATGTTTGCTTATCAGTTTCTTTTAATCATCAAGATAAATGCTATTGCAAATAATGTTGAGTTTTTTAGAGAGTTTCCCCTTGGTTGTATAAGTAGCTTTGTACAACATGATCCTTCAACCACTTTAGAAAATTTATAATATTTCAAACTGTGAATTCTATCAAACAGTTTTCATAATTAATGCCATTTTATTCTGCATCGTGTTATGGTGGTGAAGTCTACCACATTAACACTGGTCTCTGTTTCTTGGAAGTACTGAATGTTTTTGCTGAAGTGTTAAGTAATTTGAATATGACTTTCATGAGTAAGATTCAAGGTTAATATTTCTTTCTTTGTTAATACTTTTGTTTTGAAAAAAAGACTTCTTTGTTTTGTCTATCTGGAGTTAAACAATAGGCTGTTTGTTTACTACAGTATTTCCACAACTGCTTAATATGAGTAGCTTTCAGCTTGAGATGTCTATTGATCCCGCTAATCAAATAATGTAAATCAAGAGTTGGTGGTGTGTTCGAGCATGTCTTCTCGTTTGTTGATTCGCATTCAAAATTTTATTGAACTACTATTTCATGAATTTATACCAATAAGTTTAGTATCAAACTATAGATTATAATTCAAATGTTGGTACTATATATATATATATATATTACTCAA